GCAAAAACGCTTCTAGACAGTCGAATACAAAATGTTTTATTCGTGTATACATATACAACAGGTGGGCAAAGTGTGGCCTGTGAAAATGAATTAAAAACCCTATGTGTGCGGCCTGCCAAGCAACATTGGCTAGAAAACATCGTATTGTTTACGGCAGATGCTGATTATGTAAAAAAGTAACATTAAACGGAGAATAAAGTGGTGTAAAAGCAGTGCTTTGAGGATTTTGGAAACTCAATGGAAACATCAAAGTTTGGGTGCATTTGCATGCAGTTTGAGTGCATTTAACACTGTTTCTGTCATTATTTGATTAGTTATACCACAATGCTATGCAGCAACATTGATTCTATGTTACTTCATTATAATACAGGTAGGACTTCTAGAGTATTCTTTGGCAAAGAGTATATCAACAAACAGTATAAGGAAATTTTTTTTTATTTGATAGGCTATTTCCGATACGATACTCACATCACTTTCCATTTATTCGAGCTCTGTTTTCACCATTATTTAATTATATAAACAGAGTGCTACACACAAAAATTAATCATATATATCTTTTTAACATTGAGTACTCTGGACAATAAATAACACACCTATTTTCTGGTTGGTCTATATATCCTACTTATGTTTTGCTGCATCAGCTAATAATAATCTGGCAAGGAGTGGAAATATTATTTCCACCATTAAAATGTCTGGTAGTGGCCATTCTTGTACTATGCCGAACATTTTCCAGTAGGTTTTATTGGGTTAACTCACAAGCTGATCTATATGATATTCAATTGGTGGGATATGTGCTGTAAACATGAATACATAGGCTAAAATTAATTATTTTGGCGGCCATTTTGAAATTTAATATGGTGGCCAATTTCTGATGGCTGTATAGTCCCTGATATCGAAACATGGGCAACAGTCTTTGGTTGACAGTGGTAGGTACACATGTAGATATGAATATTGACAAAAATATCATTAATTTGGCGGCCATCTTGAAATCCAATAGTTCGGCGCCATCTGACATAATTTCTGATGATTGCATTACACTCCTTGATATTGAAAACATGGGTAATGATCTTCAATTGGCAATGACATGTGCTGTAGATATGAATATATTGGCTTAAAAATCAATTATTTTGGTGGCCATATTGGATTTCAAGATGGCAGCCATTAGGAGGCGTTATTTTTTGGGGTCTATTTTTTTAATGATCTTTAGGTGTCATAGTATCACTATGGGAAGTTTCATGCTTTCTTCCAGAAGTGCACGATTCTACTTGAAATTCGACCTTAGCTGCTCTAAAAAATTTTTCTCCTGACTGCAAATATACAAAATAGACAATTGAAATTAAACAATTTTTCTGTACATGCAAAGTATACTGGCAATTTAAATCACATGATTTAACGATAATTTGTTGACCTTTTGACCTTCTCTGCAGTGATGGCAATACTAACCTCATCCATTTGAATATTTCTTGGTGTGAGGAGATTTCGGATAATGGAATTGAAGCAATCGCCAGGGGATGCACAAAGCTCCAACACCTAATCTGTAAAGGATGTTTTAAGGTTAGTTAAGGGTTGTTTACATATTTAAAGGGACTGAAACATGACCTATTGTTCAACTCACCTGTGGTGGATTTCTAAGAAACAGACATAAAATACTAGTGTTAACTGACCAATTAAAGCCTGTTTTATCACATAGAAATTCACATTGCTATAACATAGTCTTAGCTTTGAATCTGTTCAAAACAAACAGGTTTACTGTAATTCCATGGGCTTCTTTATGAGATGGGCTTTTTTTCAAGAGGGCTTCTTTTCAAAATGAAGTGCTGTAAATTTTGGGAATTAGTACTATAAAGCAATGAATAGGGTCACTGTAACATCAATCTATATCATGGAGTGTAGTGACCAGCATTGAATCATCTAAACTACTGTATAAACCGAGCGTGTTTTTAATTTATTATACAGTATATGAACTCTACTATCTCGAAAAGAAGCCTATGTTATCTTGAGGCTAATTTTGCAAACTGAAGAGGAGGCTTTAATTCGAGATTGGCTTCTTCTCAAGATTTAAGCCCATTGGGCCTCAATTCGAGGTTTTACAGTATGTTTTCTATTACATGTTAATATTATCAGTAAAATTGTTACACATCAAATTTTTCTTCTTGTTGCAATACAATGAAATAATATACTTATTCTGCAGCAAAAAATTAGTTACAATATTGGGCCATGTATGTGTGGATTTCTACTTTTTTGTGCGAGAAATGTTCTATTCCTTAAATTTTACCTCCCTGTAGGAAGCCATGAATTGATAGCTTATGGAGCAATTATAGCCTCCTCCGAGCACATTAAAATAATATAGACAGCTATCTGATTAGACCGTGGGATAGAATAGTCTATTATAGACCAATAATCATCACAATTATAGCTAGCTAAGCATTAAGATCGTCTAAAGGCCGCTCATGGCAATCAACCCCAGGAAATTTGAATTGTTAGCAAATGTATGTAATGGAGGTTATGCACTGCCTTATAAAGACCTTATAAACGTGTAAGCAAGTTACAAATGGAATGGCAACATCTCAAGTTAGAGCTGTATCCAAACTTTTTTTAGGCTTAGAGTGAAGGTAATATTTGCAATAATTGAAACTGAAGAAGTGCTTGAGTCCCCATTTCTCCTCCCCTCTCTTCCATACATCACTACCTAGCTTGAACATGTAACATCCCATTGCATGATTTGAGCCAGCAGTTACAATCGATTGCCTAGCTTGAGTTTACCCTATCTTCATACCCCATTTCTAGCTTGAGTTATCTTCCCTCTTCCATTCTTCCTACACCACTACTACATTCTGATGTCAATAGTCAGTGTACTATAGCCTTAAGTTATTCCTTTTTAATTAGTTAGGTTCATTTTTCATTCTACCAACTCCCATTGCTGTTTAATTGATTATTTAGCCTTGATACAGAAATATGCTGATAATTGTAAATTGGTCAAGAGGTTGTAAACTTCTGGTCATATTGCTCTGTTTGCAAATGATAGGCATGACATTTGAACATTTTTTCTTTGCAGATAACTGATGATGCTATGAAAAGTTTAGGTACCTATTGTCAAGACTTAACCACTTTGAATGTACAACAATGCCAGGTAGGCTAAACAGCTGTATAGAATTCTATACACCTCCAGGTCACAAACAGTTATTCAGGGTTGTGGCAACATATACCTGTACCCTCGTCGGTTGGTAGAAGCAAGTGTTTACGGATGAGGACTCATATCGTCGCTCACATCACAAACTAACACAATCAAAGTAGATTGTGTTTAGTTTGTGAAATCAAGAAAGCGCGTCAAAATATGCGCTGTTGTTGTTAAGGACTTTTTGTGTGGGAAAGAATACAAAATTGCTTGACAACCAATACATGCTCATTTTGACGCGCTACTGTGATTTCACGAACTAACACAATCTACTTTGATTGTGTTTGAAATCTGCCATAAGTTGATATTTTTGTTCTTAATCAGGATTTAAACTCAAGCATAATAATGGGGAAAAAAAACAACAAAAGTATGAAAACAATTAAAGCATAAATTAAGGGCTCTAGAGCTGGTTTACTCACACATACCCTTTGGGGAGAAGTAAAATGATGTATGATAATTGGAAATTGTAATGATCTAACACCTAGTGCTGCAACATAATAGAATAACCCCCTAGGACCTGAGAATGTGCAGCATACACATTAGTTTTCAGTGATCTGGGTAATAATGGCAAGCACCTTATTTTCCTTGTAATTGGGAGAATAATGTGAAGCACAAACAAAATGATAGATATCTATAATATCATCATCATTATACATTTTAAATGTCTATATTCCATGCAAGCACGGGTTAGAGAGGGTTACTTAATGACGTATTGTTGTTATTTTTATAGTTCATTATTTTCCTGGTAATGTAGGTAATAATGTAAAATACAAAAAGGTTAGGCAGTATGTACTTATTATCTTTATAGTATATTATCATACATTTTATTAAACATCTATTTTCCATGCTAGCAAAGGTAAGACAGGGTTACTTACTTAATGACATATTGTTGTCATCATTGTTATAGTTTATATGTAATTATCACTGAAAACATGACATCGGAGGCTATCTCAAAAATGAAATCTTATAATGCATCTAGTTCTTCAGACATCGAAATGGTATGAGCTGCAAGTCATACTATAATTTCCCCTAGTACAAAACTATTTAACTGCATTATTCACAAAGGCAAAGTTCCCACACTGCAGGCTGGTTAACCTCTTACATTGTCAGTTCATATGCAGGTAAAGGAAATGTTTTGACCGGAGACTGTTATCGCTGTCATAAAAAATGCTCGATCAAGTTATGAAAATCTTCTGGTCTCACAGGATACACCCACCCAGGATTGTTTTCAATGTTTGTGAAAGCAATTTATTTGAAAACATTATATTGTAGTATGCATTGTTTTGTGTATATGTACTAATTATTCTTGAATTGTTTCATTTACAGCAACTAACCGATGAAGGCATGCAAAAATTAGCAATTGGAACGCAACGATTATGTTCATTATGTTTGTCAAGTTGCATACACCTAACAGACCAAACGCCAGTAGCGCTAAGTAACTATTGTCCGAAACTACGGTAAGAACTAGAAACCTTATGATCTTGTTCCTTAGTGGATTTAGATTAACACATACAAAGATTGTTATTGATCAAAAGGAAGCCAACTTCTAAAGCTGCAGTGCACCCTCTAATTCGAGACCATTTTTTGAACCTGAAAATTTGAGATTGTCTTGTCAGTTCGTCTCCAGTTAGAGGGTTGGCATTGTGTTCAGAGGGGTTTCAATCCCTTGCTGTGCATTTTTCGCTTGTTTCCTGTTTGGCTTCTCTCCACTCAGAGATTGTGTATCTGATAGGGTTGCCTGCTACTGCGGCAACAGCACTTTAGCGTGTGGACCCAGTGACCATAGAAAACAACACGCTTTGTAACCGAAAGGAAAGGTGCTATATATATACCAAAATAACAAATAATAACAAATAGATAACAACGGTTGTTAGTTGTCTTTAATCTGAGGAGTTTCAGAATTAGAGTAGAAGAGGTTTGGTGTAGCCTCGAGGTCGGGGTTTCAATCACTCGCTGTGCATTTCACTTGTGTCCTTGAGCAAGACACTTTATCTGCATTGCTTCTCTCCACCCAGGAGTATAAATGGGTTCCTGGTGGGGTTGCCTGCTCCTGCGCTGATTACTAGCAGAAACACTTAGCATGTGGACCCAATGATCAGGGAAAGGAACTGCGCTTTATAACCACAAGGAAGAGGTGCATTATAAATGCCCATACCACCACCAGTACCACCAGGCCTGTGCCCCTCCTGGAGTTACCGTATGTTTATAATGATGGGGTTTTTTTTTTTAAATATTTCTCAGGACGTTAGAGGTAGCAAGCTGTTCACAGTTCACAGACAACGGTTTTGGTGCATTAGCAAAAAAATGTCGAGATCTTAGAAAAATGGATCTTGAAGAATGTGTCTTGGTAAGTTATGTCAATGATACGTGTAATGATAATACTATATAATAGGGAGGTTTCGCATGCGAACGCATACGGTTAGTCTGGTGCGTCATCATTTAGGACGTCATACGCCGGTTGCTATCCGCTAACCATGTGGATGACACACACATCTCACTCAGTACATGTACATGAAAAACGCGTAGGAAAATTTTGGATTTCTAGTACGATCTTTCACATTTTACATTAAGTTTAAAAAATAAATGTATCTTTTAATACGTACGTGCCATTTTTGTGACTTTTGATGACAGCAAGTTACGATAGGATGCATCTCATTTTGGGGGTAATAGAAAACGTTGGTGCTTGGGGTGTCGGGATTTTCCTGTAGGCCCAGGCCTAGCTAGGTGCCTCCCTCCTAGGTCTAGCTTACAGTAGCCAAGCATTTTTGGGTCTCGAAATAACCAGCTCTTCTGGGCAAGAAGGGTAGGAGTGTTATTCGGCTATCACTTCCAATTTCCAAAACCTTGCATACCAAAACTTTAGGGCATGCCAAAATCTGATTTTAAAATGCATGATGAGAGAAATAACGGAATAGACTAGCCTGGCTCGTAGGCTAGGCCTAAGGCCCAACGCTTAAATTTCATTGTCATTGTGAAAAGCACAGCTTGGTTACAAATCGTTACGGATAGATAAACGTATGCATACACGTATTCGTTTGCGTGCGAAACCTATCTCATGTGCGATCTGCATTGGCTTCATATAGGAGTCTTGTTGGGGACGTAAAGATAAAATGGGGGCTTGACGATTAAGTGAGGGGTAACTAGCTTGCAAAATAAGGTGATATGAGATGATTTTTATCTACTTGCCTTTTTCAATGGGGGTGGGGGAGAAAGGGTGCATGTTTTTTAGGGGCCCCACTGGCAATCTGTCTTGATAAATGTATTGAATTAGCACACTGTATATATTTCTTATATTATCATATTCTTATTCTGAGGTGTAATATAGTTTACATTTATAGCCAAAATATACAAGATTTACGTTAAATGATATCTCTTCTTGTAGATCGTGCTATCTTGCATCTCTTCTACCAATGGGTTATTCAAACCACTTTGACATATTGCTGTTTGTGTGCTTTTGGTTTAACCTCTAAACAAAATAATAACATACTTGATAAAATTAAGAAATGTGGTAGTCGTATATTGGTATGGAACTACCTTCAATCACAATTACACACCCATTTCATAATTCATTGTCTTTTAACAGGTCTGGTATCCGAGTAAATGTTATTTGTACGATTGCCCTATTGCTGAAACACAAGGAGAGGCAGCGATGGGAATTGAACCGGGGACCTAGAGATCTCCACGGTTCAGCGCACACACAGTGGCTACCACCAGATTAGCCGACTGAGCTAAGCTGCTCTCTCTAATGGAAACCCCGGTCCCAACAGTGGTCTTTAATTGGAGGGAGACCTGTACATAAAAACAGTTCAAAATGCATATAAAATTGAATGCACATGCTCACAAATGCAGATAAATTTATGTAAACATGTGGAATTATACGCGTGAAAGCTTGTGTTGCACAACGTTAATGCTATGCCAGAGTTGGCAAAATTGCTGAATCCTTTAGGCAAAACATTTCTTTTTGTCCCTGCTCATCCATGAATGTTAAATATATACTGGGGTATATGTGTAAGTGGTCTGGATTTAAATTTGATGTATGATGAAGTACAGGGGAAACTAAGGCTGTTCCACTCCAGGAAGCACGAGAGAGTTGAACATTGATGTTTGATTGATTAGTAGTTGAGGTGTAGCTTAGTGGTTATGATGTTTGACTTCAAATTCCAGGGTCCTGCTTTTAAGTTCTGCCAGAACCAGGATATTTATCAACCAAAAACTATCTGCAGCTCCTAAGATTTGTAATGAATATAATAGAGTCTGCAGTCCTTACACTCCTTCCCTCTCCTCCATATATTTAATATACACAACAACATTGCATTTTTTTTAACTCGCTTCAGCAGTTTTAACTGATTTAATTCTTTCTGTTTTTTAGATTACAGATGTCACACTTAGTCATTTAGCCAATGGCTGCCCTCTACTGACCAATCTTGTGAGTACATATTGGTAATTTTTAGTAATTTAACAGTAAATGTTCATTTCATAAGTAATATCAATCATACACTGCTATAAATAAATATTTTTTGGTGTCATTTTATTTCTTAAATTATATTTTATTTCTTTTAATTCTTATTGTCATCATCATCGTCCTCACGTTTGTGTTTACCATCACCATCATACTTATTACCATGCCATCTGCTCCACCAGCATTTAGTTACTTTGCACAAACATTGACATCATTTTAATAGCAGCTTGCTTTCACTCTTCAATTTCCTATAGATAAAAATTTTAAAAAAATGAAGAACTAAAAAAATATGGACCACTTATCGCATGTTGTTTTTCAGAGTTTGTCTCATTGTGAGTTGATAACAGATGAAGGCATACGCCATATAGGAACAAGTGCGTGCTCCACCGAACACCTTGAAGTTATCGAACTCGACAACTGCCCTCTAATCACAGACGCTTCGTTGGAGCATCTCATGGGTTGTCAAAATCTAGAACGTATTGAATTATTTGACTGTCAGCTTATTACAAGGGCCGGCATTCGACGTCTTAGGGTAAGTTGCTTTAGAATATCAATGAAGTGAATGTTTTTCCCATGCATTTAACAGTATGTATATGTATCAAATATGTTGCAATGTTATTCGATACATATTTGTTCGCCTCTGATAGGAAGCATGAATGTAACTTTTATTCATAGGCTGTTTTCTTTATGGTGGTGTTGAGGGTATTGATGATAATAATGGTAACAGTGAGAGGTATTTGTACAGTGCCAATATCAACACTATAATGCAGCGCTTAATGCTATTGACATTGGCATTACCCAAATAGACAAAAAAAAATATAGTGAAAATCCAAGAGAGTACCATCTTGTCCTAATAGCTTAGTTGGTAATGGGAGAGTCTGGTTCACATCCAATGGTGACAATTCAGTATTCCCAAAGAGAGCTATAATGTTTATATATGAATTTTAATTTAAATATTAATCACCAATTACATTCTGCATACTCAGAGCTCACTTGATCAAAACATATCTGTGTTTTCTATTTAATTGTCTGGTACATACTTTATCGTAAACACTCAAATGGTTGCATGATTTCTTGTCTGGATTATCGATGACAATATTGATTGAAAATTGCTGGAGAGAATTTCAAATATGAAAGTACTCATTATGCATGCATAGCCATAATAAATGACATACATTGATTGCCCATCCTTTTTTGACTGCACAAAATTCTGGTTACAGTACATAAAGAGTAAACGATAGGCTCCTTATTTACCATATGTAACTACTTAGTTAACTCCTTAATTTTTTATTCTAGAGCCAGTTACCAAATATTAAAGTACATGCATACTTTGCACCGCTAACACCACCCCCATCTGTTGGTGGTGGGCGGCAACGGTACTGCAGGTGTTGTACAATAGTGTGATAATATGCGACGTTGTCCAGTTGTTCGTTGGCATATAAGTATATGTGGTAATGGTCAAGTCGGTAACATTTGTTCAAGGTATTGCAATCGCTTGTTGATTGTTGGGTTAATTATTGCAGGTGAGAATGCAAATTAGGACAGGTGAGTGATGTAAACTATGAAAATTAGGACATTGTTTAAACAGGTGGACATTCTAATTGGCATGTGCTTATGATGACAGATGGGACATTTTAGTAAGTCAGACATGCAAGTGTTAACAGGCTTGGCATATGCGCTACAATAAGTACAATATGGTGATTAGTGTTATCATAAATATCTTTATTTTTTGGAGTGCATTAAGCAGGGCCTATCTGAACAGTGGGACCATCCGGAAAAGTAAATGTTGCATGTTGTACCTTTAAAGATCATGAATGAAAATATTAACCAAAAGGTAAAAGGCAGGACTGTGTTTGTCAGCTTGGATAGGTGCTGGCAGTCTAATATGCATAATTGATTCCATGGTATAACAAGTGATTCGTAAACCCATTCCAATTATAAAGTAGAGGATATTAGCATTATACAGTATAGAACAAGCTTTAAAACAGATAAATCTGAAATAACTTTTAAAGTTGTTCTAATGAATTGAACTCTGTGCTGGTTTATTTGGTCAGGTACTTGACCTTAAAGACCATATCTTTGGTTCATATTAAATTGCTTGTACTCCTGTCTGTAAGATTTATGGCCTTAGCACTGTTGCAATTATGTCACATATAGTTTAATATAGTTTTTAAAAAAAGAATTATTTACTAGCATATCTCTAAAAAAAAATGTTTCTTTTGATAGAAATATTTAAAATCCTCAATCAGTCATTTACCATTTTAAAAAGGTGGACCAGATCCTAAGTTAAGTTTGTGGAATTGTGTAAGAACAACAATATTCACTGGTAATAGTATCCATTGTTCATATGAAAAAATTATCATGTGGAATATTCAATAGATTTTGCTTGTTTTAAGTGGTAGGTCAATAAAGGGTGTTATTGCATGTCCTCGTTAATTTGTTTTTAAAAACTTAATGCTAAGGCTAACTCTTAGGGTTGTTATTTACAGTTTTGCACACTCTGTATCCGACCCGTTAACAATGCAAGTCATAATATTTTTTTTATTATTCAAATTAGATAAAAACTTGTCAATACGGTTAATTTTTTTTTTTCATATACGTACATATTTAACATTCATTAAACAAACGTTACAGTTAATTTATTCAATTTTGAGGTATTAATACAAAATATACATATAGTAGTGAAAGAGAATTGTGTGGGATAATAAATGCGAGCTAGAAGTTAATTATAACATCAGCTTGAGATACAGTAACTCTAAAAAAGGACCAGCAATTCAGATCAAGAAATTTATTTTATTAAGAAATACAGCATTATTCTGGAAATGTATTGTCATTGTATTGTGGTGGGTGCACTGTTCAAACACTGTGAAATTACACCATGAAAGCAAGTGACTTCACACAATGAAGCAAGTTAATTTGTTGTAAGGTGTCGGGCTTCCACTCCGACGATCATGTTTCGGTTCCTTTTCTGCTCGTATTACTTTCGTCCCTGGGGAAAAAAAAATTTGCTTTATCTACATGAGCCTTTCTTCACCCAGAAGGATTTAAATGAATCCTGTGTGAGGATGTGTATATTCTTAATGTTGAAATTAATACACATGTGATATATGACTACATGCGTATGAAAATCCCACATAGAGCACATGATAGCATCATGCACATTTAGCTATGTATCAAATTACAGGAGGTGATATTAATAATGTGAAAAATTGTAACACTTCCTTCCAAATCAGAAAGTGATTAAATATTGATTATAAAAACAGTAAAAGTAATAATTACTATCATTTTTATTACTATGATCATTTTTATTCATGGAGATCTATAACAAAAATGAGTACAAAGAAATCATTGCAACTGATTCTGTAAGTTTAATATTTCAGTATTTATGATGCATCTGTTACAGTTTGGTAAATATAAAAAAAACATGGATAACAGATTCATTGCACAAGTGAATATGATCATACAATAGGGCATGCAAGAATCATTTGTTTACAGAAATAATGATATTCATTATAATAAACTAGCGGTTTATGCGATTAATGGACCTTCCGAAGTGTCAATCAAATTTTATAAATGGCCAATCAGAAAAAGGCCAGGAATATGCACACCTTCTTTAGAACTGCACGTCTTTAACATTTGAAAAATCAAAATTCTTTTTCCATCAAAAATATTTATAAGATATTTAATGTGGATGAATAACTGCAATATTTTCAAGATTGGGGGAATTATATATGAATCATGTTGCTGAAATCATGAGATTTAAAAAAAATTATGTAACCATAAGGAAAATATAAGATGTTTATATGAAGATATATATTTATGTCGTCATAAATAACATATTGTCATTAACAACTGTAATTTGTATATGCTGGCTGCTGTAACTGAGATTACATCTGTAAAATCCTGCTCACAATGTTTTTGCGCCCCTTGTATCTAGTGATCCTTGCCATGGTCTAACGTAACTTGTGTCATGTAGCGATAATATATTAAACATTGATAAGCTAGCGCGTGTATTAGTGCTATTGTTGTGAATAAGTTATTTTTGGTTTAAAAAAAAGAAAAATCATTAGTAATTATATAATTGATGTAAAAAAATGAAAATGAAATGTTTCATTGCTGAAAGTTGAGCAAACAAAGTCAGTGGTTCGTACAAATGGTGTAATTCCTTTATTTTGGATTTTGAAAAAAATGAAATTTTAAATAAATACAAGTTGAATGGGAATAATGTTGGCAGTAAAGACATACTGTCTGTATTAAAGACTTAGCCAATAAAATTCAAATTAAGTTATAAGATTAGAATGAGAAAATTGCAATTGGTTTTTTTTTTCTTCAACTAAATTGCAAATTAGTTGCAGTTAGTTTCAACTGTATTCTGAGACCGTTAAAATCTTGTAGACCTTTCTGGGGTGTCAATAAAACTTAACTCACCAGCCAACAAGTACATGTGTTGTCTCATAAATGAATAAATGTGTTCGCGTACGTTTTTCCAAAGTCGTTTTGTGGGACAGCAGCAACATGAAGGGGCGGACTCAGTGGAAAGTAAATCATGATGTGTCTTATTTGAATATGATAACCTATTTCATCCTTTAGATGAGAAATTCAAATTAGTTTGTCTACTGCCCTCTATAGGTCAAAAACAGTCAGCATCTGTATGCCAGTGATTAACTAGGTTTTCGCAAACAATGCTGTAGTAAATATTCAGTATTTTTATATTTGCAGGATTCCCAAGTCTCCCGAAACTCCTTGGAGTCTCCCGGAAATTGGTATGGTCTCCCACACTCCCGCAAACAAGCAAAAATCTCCCGCAAATTCAGTTTTTTAAATTTTGGCCTAAATTTGGTTGCCGATTATTTTTTTCAGTCTGACAGTGGCCATTTCTGGGCTTCTTAAGGTGCCTATTCTAAAAAATCTCATCACCTCAGCCTCAATCATGGTGGGCCTGATTTTTTCTCATAGAATAATATATAGAGCCCCGAATGTCATTAAACGAATCTCCCGGAAATGGATTTTTCCAATTTAGGACCCTGTATATGTGCCTGATCCCCTATTGTAGGAGAATTTAAATTGTTTATGGGAACAATAAAACTGAATAATGGTAATTAAAATATAACAAAAAAAGCAGTAGACATGTTTTTCATTCAGAGCATTTTTTAGATTGATGCTCAGAGTCTAGATTTTAACACAAACGTATGTCTTTACAGCTTGACACTTTTAGTACAGACATATTCAATCATTTTGTTTTAACACTTTTTTTGCCACCTGTATGTAAATTATTCCACATGATATTAATTTAATTTGAATCACCACTTGTCATTCCAATTTACACCATGTTGTTACCATGGCATAACTATGGCGTTACCACAGCATCACTATGGCATTTCCAAAGTGGAATGTTAATTTGAAACGACCCAACGTTGTAATTGTGTGTAAAATAAATATTTATTCTTCCCTTTGCAATGCTAAGTTTATATATTTGTAAAATATTTTGCATATTTAGAAAAAAAAGTATTTATAATAATCATTGTTAAAAATATGCATGCTTTTTGTATCCATTAAATGTTAGTAATAATTTCATTTGTATGTTAATTTTATCAGACTATATTTTAATATGTGTTAACATGCATACAAATTACTGAACTGAATATACTGTAGGGCTCATCTTTATCCAATTCTGTTGTATATTCATTCGTTTTGTTTATATGCATTTTAAATATTTGCACATTTTTGCCATTCTTTTAGTAATACCTCTTAATCAGTCCTGAACTGTTTTATTATTGATAAAAAAAACCAAAAAAACAATTGTTTATTTGTTCATTCATTATGCTGTCATGAAATTAAATCTTTGTCATCACTCATTTTTCTCATTGCCACTATGTTTAATATTAACATTTGTATTTTGATTATGTTCATCAAGAAATCATCTTTCTCAATTTCAATATTTTTTATTTATTATTAACAATCATGTTTTTAAATGTCATAATCATAACTACCATCGTCATTCTTTTATTTGAATCATCAATTTAATTCTTAAGAGCAGAGTCTGGTGAAAAAACTTTATGTTAATGTCCTCAAGTCCTTGTTCTGAAATCTGATCTGTTTAAATCTGTCCAATGAAAGAATATTTTCATTTATTAATATACAGTAATCTTTCAAACTTCCTTATTTTGAGGACGTTAAAAATATGATTTACAGTATTGCAAACATTTACAGTCAAATAATGTATTAGCTTCAAAATATAAATGCAATTTGTAATAATCAATAAACTGAATATATGCTCACATTTTTGTTTTCAATTTTCTCATTAAGGTCCTCCCTACATACCTTAGCTATGTGCCCTACATCGTCATTATTTTGTTTTTATTCAGAGACCAAATTTATAGATTTAGGGAAAAAAGTAATAATTAGTATTATTTATTTGTGTAGATTTTGCATTGAATGGTTCACACAAGAGGCCTTGAGGAGAGACATAAATGTTAAAAGTATTAATTAATAATAAGTAATTAAACTTTCTGATCATTATTTGTTATCAACTATCTTCAGATGATTTATTTTTACCAAATTTCACAAGATTAAGAAATATTACACTACATATAATATAACTACATACAGTCTTGAAGTGTAAAGTAATATAAATAACATTAGTGGTTAAACATTGGCTTGGCAAAGGTATGATAATGTAGGGGTGTGGGTGTGACAGAATTGTCAAATTCCAAAAACTGTTTAAAAAACTTGGCAATTCTTTGCACAATATTTGTCAAGAATATAGTTGTCATTTTAAACTAGGGTAAGATTGCCAACAAACTTGCATAAATGGATGTTGAACAAAAATTATTGATATTAATAAAGTTATATACAGTATCTATTTTGGTTCCTTTCTCACCGACTACTGTACGTATAGAAGGAATGGGATGTAAACTGAAATGCATTGTGGAAGGTATTTAATCTGCAGACTTGTCAAAACTAGTGTATTGCTAGGAACTGTAAGTTTTAAGAAAACTTTAATAATGTTTATAGTTATAGAATATTTATTTGAAATCTTCCAATGATTTTGGTGTCCAGCTGTGCTTTGTAGACGTTTAAGGCCAGAAATATGAGAGTAAAGATTCTTTGTTTGAATACAATGATTTTCTTTTTAAAAGAAATGATTTATGCATTGCTAATGTTGAAAAGGTTGAGATAATAAAAAGAAAAAAGCTTATAAATGTATAAGAAAATTGAAAAATGTATTCAGTGTCTGTTATTGTTTGTTTTTGCATTCTAAGATCCTTTAAACCAAGACCATTTTGACATAAGTACCAACATAAACCAGGGGTGGATCCAGGATTTGAAGCAAGGGGGTTTAAACATTTTTCGAAAGAAAAAAAAAAACCCAAAAAGGACAAAATTTTTATTCCTAGATAGCCAGAAATGAGATTTCCTGACTTCTGAGGGGACTTTTAATGACTATTAATTATTATATTTATTTAATTGAAGGCTAATTAGGCTAAGCCTAGCGTGATCGATCTACTTATCTAGTTCTAGGTAGTTTAGCATGCCTTGTGTAGGCCAGGATCCATGCACTACCATACAGTGGCTGATCATGCAGGAATTTTAAATAGAAGGGGGTCTAGACCACCATGTTTGGGGGCTGGGGTAAGAAAATTTATGATTATGGCACTTCTAGATGGGTGGAAATGGCACTCTCAGACTAAAATTTGGATATAAATGTATGCAGGCCCCCTTTAATCTACCAACTGCAGCACTTTTTTTTACGTATCATCACAGAGAGCTGTGGGGTGGGTTCGTCTAAACCCCCTGGATCCACCACTGCAACAATCTTTAACACAAATATAACCCCCTAATTGGAGACCAAAATTCCCACGTCCACCACACATTTTTAGATCACAAAGGTAGTCTCGAATTGGTGGGTGAACTGAATAGAATAGAACTTCATTCTCATGCATTCGGTGATGTCATATTCATCCATTGATAGATATAATATACAGTAAACATCGTTGGTTAAGTATCTTGTAATCATCGGTGTACCGTGGGGGGGTTGTTGTGTGCGGTCGACCCTTCCTTTTGAAGAAAGTGCCCTTTAAATATGCTCGCTTCACTCACAACTAACGCACCCCGCGAATTCTGAAAGCTTCGCTAAATTGCTCCGAGTTCAGCTGGCCCCCCCCTGCACTTTCATTTCGACCCCCCCTTAGATTTTTCATCATGCGCCCCTGGTAATGCAATGCAAAATACAGGGTCCAAAGTCTCCCAGAGGTTGCAGGAGTCACCATTAAATTATATCTGCATGTTTTTCTCTATTATCAATTGTCTTAAGAAGTTAGTGTCAATGGGTTTCACCATGTGCAACAAATCAAAAAATAGGCTCCCAGTGGGAGCGCGTGTCTATGCCCTATACTGCCTTAAGCCGGGCACTTACTGCGCACGACGGTTGTCGGACAAAGCAATTCTATAAAGAACGCAACGCGAGGACGCGCGTGCAGTGTATCATTGTTTAATGACGATCAGTTCAGACTACCACTGACAATCAGCAGACAGCGTCGCGTTGTCTAGCGCTCAGAGAGAGCCGAGTAGGATTCTTCGTACGATGCAGTGAGTGCCCGGCTTCACTGTCTTCTAACCGGCTTCACACGTCTGCTAACGGTTAGCAGGATCCGGATCCTGCTAACCGTTAGCTGCCGTGCGTCCATAAGAGAAAATCGCGATCCGGATACCAAAAATATGATGATCGAATCACTGGCCAATAAGAAACTGGAAATTGTAAACGCGTATGTGTGATTGGTTGATGATAAAAATGCGTTCAACTTGCTAACCAATAGCGCTTGCTAACCGTTAGCGGTATCCGGATACTGCTAACGGTTAGCGCTAACCGATCGGGCGTTCTCACGCAGGTGCTAATGGTTAGCGCTAATGGTTAGGACCTATAAAAAATATTATTAGTTTATCACCCTATCTGAGCAGGAAAAGTGATGAGGGAGGGAGGTTTTTTTTTATTATTTTTTATTTTGCTAAAGCCAAATATCAAACTTGGGTTGTTTGCTGGTGCATTGATATTCAAAGTAAAACATGATTTAGATAAAGCAAATAATATCTACTAACTGTTTAATAAAATAAATGAAAAAAATAAATAAATAAAATAATAAAAAAAAAAAAATAAACAAAAATTTTTTTTTCAAACTTTTTTTTTCTTTTTCAGTACCATAAAAGACATGCGCGTGAGGGTGATAAACTAATAATTTTTTTTATTGGGCCTTAGCTCCCGATCCGGATACTAGGGCCCTCGTGAGAACTAGGCTTTTGTGTTTACTAATAAAGTATCCATGTGGGATTCGGTTATCAGGAAATGTGACAGGGGGTCATAGACACAAAAACCATATCTTCCAGAAGTGACTTCTTTCAGCTTGGGACCCCTGGAAGTAGGACATACTGTATATCTAAACACCTGTTACCAGTTAATAGCAGGGAACAGTGAATAATGAGACATTGTATATTTTACCTTTTAGGAATGCAGGCACACATTGATAAGGCCAAAAAAGTTATCTAGGTTTTTGGGTTGTTTTGGCAAAAATATTTCTTTTGAGGGTGGGGCAAGTTGGAGCTTAAAATTTGTGTATGGTGTTTCAAAATTAAACTTAGAATTCATCATCTAAAATGTATGGACTTTCAGATAGAACCCTAGAATTAAGCCTAGGCAATGTAGTGTCAACATTTTTCTTCTGATTGCCGACCAACTGTCAGAGTGACTGTGCTTGGGCGACTCAACAACACCTAGTTCAAAGTTCCGTAGTGAAAGATCAGGTGAAACCAAACAAGTATTACATTATTTTTTGCCTAATAATAATAATTTTAAAAAATGAAGTATGTCAAATAAACTAGAGAATCAAATTTGTGGAATAGGACAAAGAAATTACTAAGAAAGAAAAGCTATCATTTTTAATAAGTTTACAGAAATGTATTGATTTATGGGATTTTATTAATTGATATGTTTAGAATCGATGCATCTGTGAAAGTAGACAAATTATACTATATCAGAATGTTTTATTTGAATATTGAAGAGTTTTCATATTTTACAACTGACTGTGTATCTTAAAACAAGATGATAAATACATTAAATAACATCCAATGTCCCATATTTTAAAAACATTTAATCATGAGCATTTCCCAAAATATTTTTGATCAAGTTATAATAATCCAATTGAGGCAGATAAGATGATATAATTTACATGTGTTACTGTAAATATAATACTGTACAGTCTTCTTATAAGTAAATTGGTTAAACAAATACTAGGTCCAATACTAATCTTGCAACCCAGATATTTTAATGTTTAATAATATATCATTTAATGTAAATAATATCAGATATATTCTCTCAAAAAGCATTTTGTATCTTTAATTATACACTAAATAAAGGTACTATCCTTTTTAGACTGTAATGACCAAGTAGACTGAACATATTATATTTCAACAAATTAAGAATTAAAATTCAGGCAAGTTAATAAAAAGGAAAATGTACATTAAGGAAAACTGGTTCTGATATTAAAGCCAAGTAATTTTACATTACATAATTTAAAATTGCTCTCTCATGAACTCGAAATTAAATTTGAGTCAATTTTTTTTTCTATGCCTAGTAAAAATATAAACATTTTGAGATGAGATCTTTGATTGCTGTGGGTCCCTCCTACAAGCCACTGGAGTCTTGCAAACCAGCAGTGACCCGAACTCCTGTCAGCAGGCAAAAACCTCACCCAAACTAACCTATTTCCTGCAAACTAACCTGTTTTGCGTAAAAAGGAATGCATGCATGTTTTTACTGTATTATTTATGGGTGAAAGCGGTTGCATTTCAGTCTCTCAACCCCTCATACATGGCGCGAGCCTTTGATGTGAATTTTGTGCCTTAGGACAAGGCAATACCTACATTTACCTTCACTGGGGAGGTTAAAAAGGCGAGAGGAACTGGCCACCCTACCACACAATACTGAGGATTAGTACGATGGGCTAACAGCTCATTCCCCTACGTTCAGTAATGAACACAGGACCATTACTTTTATGGTCCATGAGTATCACCATGCTTAGCCACATCTAATATCAATATAAACTGAATCTTGAATAACACCGGCATTTGCTTATAATATTGTGCATACTGTACATATTACCTTGTTTATTGAAAAATCTTCAGAGGGTGGAATTTTTTTTCTCAACATTCTACTGATAATCAAAAATTGCATGAGGTTAAAAAAAAGTGAAAAGCCCATCACTCAAGATTTTATTGTGTGGTTGTATAATGTGACGTGTAATATTGTATATTGATAAATGCGTTATATATTTTAGGAAGAAATATAGATTTCTTTTCAGAAAATTTCATGGCACATATAAACATAAAAATGAAAAAAGTTCTTTATTTTAATTTCTATTTTTTTTTAAATAATGGCAGGCCAAAATTCAAATGTAATTCTATTTGAAATCACATCATTGTGTAAGCAACAAGGTAACAAAGTTGCATCTTATTTATATATTTACATTACAATTTTGAGAAAAATTTAAAGAGGTGATTGTAATTATGGAGCAGGTAGAACAGTGGCGGCTCTAGGATATATTTTCTGGTGGGGCTAAATTGTCCGACAGTGGGGACTTGAGCTCGTAGGCTCAAGCTGGGAGAAGGGGTTGGGAGGGGGATCCCCCTCCCAAATGAGATTTTTTTAAAGTATATCAACCTCTAGATGGCCGAAAATGGCACTCTCAGACTGTGACAGACATGTGTTGGCTTGTTGTGAGCCTATTTTTATGTTTTATAGTCTGACTGCCCGACGAGCTCTGTCCGGCGGAGGGCTTGACCTGTCCGGTGGAGGGCTTGACCTGTCCGGTGGGGGGCTTAAGCCCCCCTGCCACCCCGCTGGCACCGCCACTGATGTAGAATCTAAATGTGGGATGTTTGCTTCACCAAGGTAATTAATTAATTAATTAATTAATTTCTCTAAAATTCAACCACAGAACATTGAAAAATTTGTAGCTAGCCACCCATTAGCCTGATAACCAATTACATACTGTAGATAGAACAAAGGTGAAGGTCCCTGAATTCCAATTTTAACAATAAAGTGGTGGGATGACTGGTTCTTGGTTTTGGATGTTTTGAGCTAAAAAATCTCTAAAAATATAATTAGGTAAAAGTAAGTTATTAATTACCTCTTAACTTTCTCAGAAAATTTACACAAGCTTAAATAATACCCTTCAAATTTTCTTTGCCTAGGCTTATCTAGCTACCAAGTTAGAAACCTTGTAGACTAAATATTGGATGTTGATCCTTTTAATTGAGGTATTTAATTTCATTTCATTTTTGTTGGTTTTTCCAACGATTATGAGGATATCTTTAAAAAATACATCACCAATAATTGTTATCAAAATATTCTTTTACCCGTACCTTGTTTTTATCTCAAGTCTAATAAAGAAGGAAACATCATATTCTTGTTTTTTGGCGACAATAAAATATACATTCAGTTATACCCTGCAGACTTAGACAATTGTTTCTAATTTGACTTCAGAATCAGAAATATTTTTGTCGGAAATAAGAAGTGTGTTAGGTTTTTGCTCACTACCAGAACTAGGTTGTAATTCTATTTCCTTCGTGTGATGGGTTGAGTCGGAAATTTCTACTCCAGTGTACAGTTGCTCCACAGACTGTGCTACAGAAATTTTGCCCAGAATCTTTTTCAAACTTCCACAATTCATGTTAACACTTGACCCGTTAATATTTTGAGGTATTTTTGTTACAATACTGTCAAATTCTACATTCAGTAGTCTCTCATCCAAAACTTTGTCATTTTTAATACAAACAACTTCTCTCGTCTGCCCTGAGTTATCCCATGATTTAACGTTTTCTGAGTTAACTTTGGTATTAGTCATTTCATCATCCAATTCCAGGGTATGTAAGATTCTATCAGCTGTATTATTGTTTGTAAAATCATCATTATCACATTGAGGGAGCACTGTATATCGCTGAACTGTGACCCCCCTTGATTCTTTGAGCCTGTATTCCATATTTTGTACAATTTTCAAGGATTTAGCCGTTATATCAGTTGTTTGATTAGAGGTTCGCAGATGTGAGCCTCCTCTCTCCGTTTCATCATCCTGGACAAATCTTTCTAGGTTTTGTCCACAAGCATCATCATTGTCAGCCTGCAGAAATAACGAAAATCCATAAATAAATATTTTGAAAATTTACGGAAACCAAACAGACTTCGCTACAGTTTTTAAGCCTACATGTGAAGTTATACTAACATTTATAATTATATTAAGTAGATTTTCAACACAGTTTTTCAAAATGGTATCTTCAAGATCTTGGTTCGAAGCCTGTGGTTTAGGTAGAGATGTGCAGTTATCAGATGGCTTGCATACATTAACTATTATTTGATATCATTACCACTAGAATTGAAGTTTCCCAGGGGAAAAAATTATGTGTGGGGGGGGGGCTCTTTCAACATATTTGCCAGTAGATCTTACAATTTCAAGAAAGGCTTGTCTGCTGCCACCTATTGCTTCATTTTCGTAAGCATGTCTGGATGCTCTGTCAGCTGATGCAGTGGCTAATATAGTAGCATCAGAGTTGGAAGGTTTTTTCCTGAAATAAAAACGGAAATGCAAATCATCTGTCTAATAGTTGACATAAAATTTAAAATTAATAAAGTACAGTTTAAAATTCTTAAATTTTATGCACATTCAGGGTTTTTTTTTTCAGTCTTAAAAAATAAGAAATCTAGAGTCTATAGCCCTGCATGCAATGTAACATAACATATTTCATTTTATACTTTAATGTTTTAACACTATTTTATATATATTTTTATAATTATTTTGTCTGTGCAATTATTCTGTGCAATGAGTTGCTTCCAATCTGTATTTACTTTTTACAATAAAACCTGGATTGAATTGAAAAACCATCAAGAATATTCCAAACAATATAATTAGGTTCCTTTAAAAGACTTTGCCAAGAATTTATTCAAATCTCATCTTTAGCCAGCTTTCTGTTGTAAAATGTTATTTCATTGTGCAAATTATTTCTGCCAAAAGTAACTAGGTGAAGAAAATAAATAATTTTATTGATGAACTAAGTGAGGTGCAAAGAGTGCTAATACCCTTACGCTGGAGATTACGAGTCAGTATTTAAAAAAAAAAAAAAATGCAACATTGCAATATCAGATTAACAAATGCTTTTAATTATTTAATTGCGAAGAAGAAATTGAGATTTAATAATAATAATAATAAGTGGGATTTGTAAAGCGCATAATACATAGGTCTCTATGCGCTAGAAATTTGCAAATTAAAGTAAGCTAAAAAGATGAGTCTTAAGACGATTCTTAAAGATCTCAACAGATGGAGACTCACGAATAAAAATAGGCAAACTATTCGACACCTTGGGAGCAGCAACGGAAAATGCTATTTCGCCAATACATTAACGTTACGTTATACGTTGATATTTGTTACCAGATATCATAGTGATGACATGCATAACATTTTTTTTTAACAGATTTCAATTTTTTTACAGTGAAAACAGAACAAAAGTAGAATATATTTTATTTGCATTCATTATTAGTGGTTGTCAGGTTCACGAAACAAAGTATAATAATTTTACCTAATCACAGTTTGCTACATATTATTAGGAGTACATTTTTTTAAAAATTCATGTGATGGTTTTAAAATGAATTTGAAACTTACATATAGAGTTTAACTACAACTAGGAGAAGCTGGACACTGCAACATGTGAATACAGTTACTGTGATGACAAGAGGAAGAGCAGAGGTTGAAAAAAGAAATATGTCTTTTATTCCTTCATCTACAAATAAAGTAAAAGACATTGTGATTGTTTAACATAAAATTATTTTTACTCAAACAAAAATAATTACTCTTTAAACACATATAAATGAATTTTGTCTGTTGATTAATAAAGTCCTTGATGACAGTGGGTTACAGCATTTAATGTCAGACTGAACCCAATTTTTTTATTTGTGTCATTATTCATCATTTTATTCATTCATTGAAATATGGAATGCTCCCTCCTTGTTGAATGGAACAATCCATCTTTCAACACATTAAATTTCTTGCCATTGCACTCATAAACATTCAATATTTGTATACTACTCAAAGTAAGAAAACATGACTAATGCTGAAATCATGTGCAGTGATGTAGTTGGATCGATTTAATGACTAAAGCATTGCTACGGAAAAATTATTTTTTATTATATATACAACGTGATCACAAAACAGACACTTATTTGACATCAGTTGATCACCATGCACTGCCCCAAAAAATACAATAAAATCTTATGGCTCCAATAAAAACCTTCAAAATTCCAAAAGAACGTCCAATAATTATTTACAAATTATCTGCAGATATAAAATAAAAAAGGAGCAAGTAAAAATAAAGAGATCTACCTTTTGATGATGCAGATGCTGGTAAAGTTTTTTTTGTGATGAGTTCAGTATATGGCCCTCGACCAACCTTTGTCATGGCAGTCATACGAAACATGTAATTTGTATCACTTCTAAGATTACGAACTGTTCTGCGCATATTTGACGATTCCTCTTTCACTGGAGTCCATAATTCTGTCTCATTTAATTGCAGGGCACCGTATTCAAGGATGTAAGCCCGAATTATGCCATTTGGCTTTGTCGGTGGTTCCCATTCCATCTCAACTGCATCAGAGGTAACACCACTGATGCCAAACTTTGAAGGTGGAGTTTCAGGTCCTAAACATAATTACAAATAATATTGGGTAATTCTAGCTCAAATCAGCCAAAAATTCCCATATGACTCATCTTGGATTTTCCTTTAAAAAATTTTAAAAATACCTTGATATATCAAAAGAAAGAATCCAAAATTTCAGCTCTAATTTCTAAGCGGTTTTTTTAAATGTTCATCAAAACCTTATTTCCCTGCATTTAAAATTGAATTTATTCACAGTAACAGTTAGTAGCTTTATTTCTGTAGTAAATTTGAGTGTTACAGATGATCCGCACATAAGATAAACAAGATTTAAAAATCAAAAATTTGTATGTGTTGAGCATATAAGATGACAATCATAATTTGCTATTTTAAGTCTCGTCTTTTATGCGAGAATGTACGGTCAATAAAACAAAGATTTTTAATTGGATTTATTTTTTCTCCATTTTTTTTTTAAGACAGTGTACTTTTGAACAGTACAGCACAACACAAACCTATTTGTATGTGTGGATCTTGCCTTAGGGATCAATAATGCCTTAATCCAGCATGTAATCCTTGCACTTTTAAATATGTTTTATTGCTGTAAGGCATTTATATTATGTTACTTAATGCTTATAGCCCCCTTGATAGCCACAGCAGCAAATCATGACTGAACAAACACATAAAATTTAACCTGGTAAAAACCAACACATCAACTTACGTCCTGTCTCAGTCTGAAACAGTATTTTACTACTCCGTGCACTTGTGTTGTTGCCATGGTAACTTTGAACAAAAATGGAGCAGTTTACGAAGTATGGTAGCGGAGAGATTGTTGCCTTGTTCTTGTTGCTAAAGTATCACAATATAAATATGATGTTTACCTCTTATGATAATGATACCAATGAAAATTAATTATGATTATATTGATGATGATAATGGTTAAAATGATGATAAAAATAATGATGATTAGAATGAATGATCATAAAATTGCCGGTAATAATGAGAACGATAAAAATGATTGTGATAATAATCATGATAATTAAGAGAATAGGATAGTGGCAATAGTGATTATAAACTCAAAATCCTCCTATCAAACTTTACAATTATGGTTTTCCTCTCCCATTTAACCCTGTATACTGAATTTCTTATGGGCTTCAACGTCAAGTAAATTTGCAAAAATTACGCTATTATGCCTATATGACCCAGCCGTCACTCAGCTTTCTTCCCTTCCGTGGACACACAACTCGATTCCTTCATTCAACTCCCTCCATTTCGCTTGCGTCTTCTTTACATCTCGATCTTTCTTCTACACAAAAATTATATCATGGAGGTCCTCAAAATGTCTTTTAGTCAATATCTAGTGGGGGTATCTGGGTTACTAGGACTTTAGTGGAGTTACGTCCCTACCTGTGACGCATATTTCAGTTTAGGGTTTGCTGGTCAAGGACTTTATAGTGGAGTAACGTCCTTACCTAGTGATGCATTGTTCGATTAGGGTAGGGGACGTATGTGGGTCATTAGTTTTGTGGAGTAACATCCTTACTCCAGGATGCATAGTTTGTTTAGGTCGGGTATGCAGGTCATTAGGACCTTAATGGAGTAACGTCACTACCCCATAAAGCATAGCTATCATTGATTCTTGTAGACAGTACTATAAGTTTGTCACTTGTTTTCTGTCATGACATGTTGGATGGATAATGGATGGTATACAGCAATAAAAGTAATTGAATTGAACACATTGGCAAAACAGACATTTGTCAGCCTGATAGTGTGGGCTGACTTGCAGAGAATAGCACTTTAGTATTATTCTCAGAACAACATTAACATACATTATTCTGTGAAATTGTTTTCTTACCCAAAGACTCTGGCTGTGTAAATATCCTCCTTTGGGCCGCAGCTAACGAACACCTTGTGGTTGAATGGCAAGAGTGGTTTGTCCCACTGGACACGTAGCACAGTAGAATTTATGAGTTTTATCCTGACGAACGCAGGGGTTGGACATATCATCCCTGTGAAGGCTTTCTCTGGTTGTAATAATTTGAAGCAAATAAGAATAAGGATAAATGATGTGCCTAGCCTAGCACTAAATAATATAACTATACCACATAGAACCAATGTGCGTATTGTTTAAATATTTGCTTCTTTATAAACATTTTACACACAGACTAATACATATTCATACTGCACACGGTAATGCAGTGGTCCTTTTGCAGCGGAAAAAAAAATTGCACCTCCAGTCACCTCCCCCATCCCGTGCAAATGTTTGAAGCAAAAAAAAATCATGCTCAAATAGATAATAAACACCTATCGCCTATGTCCGCTACTGCCCCCCCCCCACTTAATCAT